ATTATGTAAACAGAAACTTCTATTTTGGATGCGATTAATCGCGATTAAGTGTTTGACAGCACTAATAATAAGTAAATAATGATTTTTGGGCGAATTATTCCTCTCATATTAATAAAACCATCTTCAGTGTGTATACTAAAAAAAAAAAAAGAGGGTAGAAAACTTTTCACTCAGAAATTACAAATAAATTATACAAAGAAACAACAAGTAACACAATTAAACATGAAATATGGAAAGACTGAAATAGTCTTTTCTTCTAAAATAAACTCCAATAATCTCTTATGACTTTTCAAAGGACCTGAAGATAAAACAGCATAACATTTACAGACAAAAGAACAGGCCACAATAAAGTTCAAACAAGGCTGCTCTACTAAACATAGACCTAATGGCCTCTCACAGCCAAAGCAAATGCAGTCGGTGGAATCGATGCCATGAAGAGCATCAAGGGCATGAGAGACGGAGCAGGAACAGGTGTCGAATCAGTCCATCAGCACCTGCAGATCATACACAGCCTAAGCCTGAGCAGATCTGAGAATACAGCTGGAAATATGAGGTGAAGGACAACTAGTGCTGAAATACACAGCACCGGTCTGTTTGTTGTAGCCATTCAAGGCATCACAGGCTTGAGCCCAATGCAAAAAAAAAAAAAAAACTCTAAAAGGCAGCATAATTATACAGCATGGCTAAATTAGCCAGGATAGCATCTAATGCATTGTGACGGGTTTAGTGAAAATGTATATATACATTTTAGGCTTTTCCATTGTTAATTCAATTTTGAAAAAGCAAGAGATATTCACTTTTAATTCGATTTTTAACATACTTAAAAATCTAAATCTTTATAAAAAGTCCAATGTAATTAAAAATGACTATTTTACCCAATATTTGTTTGTGCTATGAATTGCTATGCTTATTAGACAATGGCATGGTATGTTTAGCAATATCTGAGCTACAATTATTAACAAAATAGCATGGCATTACCTTAATGGTAGAGTTGTAACGGTATGAGTATTTTACGATCTTAGAACCATCGCAGAAAAGATCAAAATTTCATGGTATACAATATCACACAACATGATCTGCAATGTATTAGTTTGTAAATATTTCAGGTACATGTAATTTTTTTCTCAAGGAAAAAACATCTCAGTGGAAAAAAATGGGGGGAAAAATCGACTAATACTTTAAGGAAACCACTTCATTAGGTACATCAATTTAATATTACAATTACAACTATGAGTAAAATAACCACTTATATTAATTTGATACTTATATTTAATTGCTATTTATTATATATAATAATCACACTCAATAAAAAGGCTGTTGCACACAAGGTATTTTTCATAAAAAATATAAAATAAGCTCCTCACTAGTGTTTTTTTTTCTAGCTCACTAACAAACTATGAACATTGGACAACTTTCTTGAGGTAAAAGTAACATTGAGTATTTTATTAATGTTTTATTTACTGAAACACAGGTTCAAATTTAATAACACATTTAAGTAAAATGCACTGTATCTGTCAATATACTGATGTTCATTCATGTTTATTCATGCTATAACTAGTAGTAAAGAGGAAGAGATCATCGGTTCGCATGCTGCTTGAAGATACAGTGATCTCGCACAACATTAAAGAGCGCCATTTATTGTTTGGATTTCGTGATAAAGTTCACAAAACTCAAAAGCTGAATGAGTCATTCCTTTGGCATATACATACATGACATTTGGCTGAAATGCATTAATGATGCTATATTCATTTGATCTGCGTGTGACTCTGTGTGTGGTTCGTCTGCAGCTCTTTTGTGGACCGGCCTTTGTCAGAACACAGCTAACAGATGGGACACGGGACCTTTTATCTGTACGTCGCCTGAACCCTGTGTCTATCAGAGTCCAGACACAGGAAATAAGGCCGTGTTTGGCTGCAGGGCATGATGGGTATTCTCATTCTCATTCATTATTTAAAGCACACGGCAGATGCAGATTAATATGCATATGATGACATTAAACATATGACATATTATATGAGCATTACTGGCACTGTCGTATAAACATGAATTCAAAGTCCACCTATTTATAAATAATTAATATGGAACAAGTTATCTGCATATACAATTTGCTGATTTGCAAACAATAGGTTTCATGTTATCTAATTTGATGATGCTGAGTTCAAAAATATTAATGAACACTTTTTACCATGTACAGTATTTTCATGAAATAAGATTGAAGAGTTTTCGGATTATATTTATGTATCAGGCTTTAATGCATCAAAAACAGTGAAATCTAAAAAAAAAAAAAAAGTATTCAAAATGTAACATACAAAATGTGAAGGAGTGAAAAAATATGTTCAAATAGTCAATTTAATGGGGAAAAAATTATACATTACTGTGCAAATGTCTTAGGCCACTAGTATTTTCACCAGCAAAACTAAATAAAAATGTATGGCAGTTTTAAGGTGGTAATTTTTATCTTTTGCTGTAGTGTGTCTGTAGGAAATATCAGTTTACATTTCCAAACATTCATTTAGCCATTAATTGTAATAATCCAGTGAGATTTTTGTGCTCCACACAGAGATCTGATCTGATCATCTTCCAGTCTGTCTGGAATGACATGAAGAAACAGTTGCTAAAAAATGATCTGACCTGGTGTAGCTGTCGTTGAGGCTGATGGCCTCCTGCAGGAACTGGAACTGGTTGGAATAAAGTATGATAAGATGACCAGCACTGAAGATGGCCATGAGGACACACAGACAGCTGAAGAGCAGCTTGTCGAAGGTCTTGCAGAGCGACCACCACGTGCACAGCCCCAAAAACACAAAGAAGTAGACGGCTGAGCTCAGAGAGGGCAGCGTGACACCTGGAGACCAGAACATAGACAGATTAGACTTGTATTCTACTGACAGACTTTTTCATTGATAATGCAATTTTTTAATATTTAGAATTTGTAAATTAATATTTTACATTAATATTAATTTGGATTGTGACATAATTTTTTATATTTAATTATAAATTATTTAATTTAAAAAACAGGATAATATTTATAGTTTTTGAGTATAACCAATGAATATTTAGGGACAGGGTGTGCTTAATTAAAATATAATAATAATACAAAAAATTCTTAATGTTACCAAAAAAAAAAAAATCTCTATTTTTCATGTATTTTTTTATATTTGCTTTTGATTTTTGGGATTAAATATAAACTGGACATTTCTTCACAGAAATGTATGTAAATGTGCATGACATATATAAAATAAATTAAATGCAAAATGATCTCATTTGCTTTTGCACTACTGTTCTAAAGTTTACATTTTTTATTAGTATTATTAGGGTTGCAAACAGGTGGAAATTTTCCAGTAAATTTCGGAAATATTCCAGAAATTGGAAACTTTCCAGGATTTTTGTATTTTTTTTTTATATTTGCTTTTGATTTTTGGGATTAAATATAAACTGGACATTTCTTCACAGAAATGTATGTAAATGTGCATGACATATATAAAATAAATTAAATGCAAAATGATCTCATTTGCTTTTGCACTACTGTTCTAAAGTTTACATTTTTTATTAGTATTATTAGGGTTGCAAACAGGTGGACATTTTCCAGTAAATTTCGGAAATATTCCAGAAATTGGAAACTTTCCAGGATTTTTGGGAATATTCCAGGGATTTTTTTGGGGGGGGAAAGTTTCCAGAAATTTACCGGAAATTTTCCACCCCTCTGCAACCCTAATTATTATTATTTTAAAGATATTAATACTTTTATTCATTCGTCTGATCAAAAGTGACAGCAAAATCATTGATCATGTTAAAAAAGATGTTTGGATCAGAAGAGATGGTTCATGGTTGAAGATGCAAATTATGGTTTATGACGGTTATGCTTGTGACATAAACTAAAGTCTATCGGTCATTTAAAAATAAAATAAAATAAAATATTAGAAATCGTACCTACCCCAAACATTTGAATGGTAGTGTATATGAAAACATCTATCACACATGCACACCTGTTAATCCCAGTAGAATGGTAACCACCACTTGTCCAGCGGTTGTGATGAGGTTACCGATGATCTCTTTGAGTTTGTTTGCGACTCCTGCTACTCTGCGCAGAATCTTCATCTTTGTGCTCTCCTGCACCTCCTCCTCCTCTTCCTCCTCCAGACCTCCTCCCTCCCCATCCTCTTCCTCTGCCTCGTCTTCTGCATCAAAGTCCTCGTCATAGAGCATCTCGTCATCATCATCATCATCTTCCACTTTCTCGTCATTCTCCTCCTGTGTTTGATCACAGAACATAAGAATCATGCACATTCACTGTATGAATGCAAACTCATATGACCTAAAACTATTGACAGAATGTGCCGAGTACATGATGGTGGATGAAAAAAGTTGACAGAACAAAATGACCAAAAAAATGCATTCTTTTTTTAAATGTTAATAAATGTTAATGAACTGAAATGGTAATACTAAAAATAAACATAAAAAATAAACAGTTTCCATGTTTCATGTTTTTATATTTTCTGTTTACATTTAAATGTTTTAAGTTTTAGTAATTTAGCTGTGTTTTTGTCATTTTTATTAGTCTATAATAATTTATATTTATAACTAACTAGCTACTAACTAACTAACTAAATAAATAAAGCATTTTAGTTTTTTATATTTTATTTTATTTCAGATAATGACATTTTGTGTGTGTGTGTGTGTTGGAAAAAATAGTATTATAAGTCCTAATAATAATAATAATAATAATAATAATAATAATAATAATAATAATAATAATAATAATAATAATAATAATAATAATAATAATAATAATAATAATAATAATAATAA